TTGGAATATCATCTGGCCCACATGCCTTCCCCTTTTTCATCTTTTGTAGTGTAGTTTTAACTTCCAAGTCTATGATTCCTCTTGTATACATCACATTAGGTTCTCCTTGTGACCTAAGATTGTCAAACTCTATCGCATGATCATCATTATAAAGCTTCTCAAAGTAACTCCTCCACCTTTCCCTAATGTCTTTATCTCTTGTCAGAACCTGATATGTATCATCCTTAACATACCTCACTTGATTTAGGTCCTTCCTTTCTTTTATCTTAGCTAGTTTATATATATCATTCTCTCCTTCTCTAGTCCCAAGTTTTCTATATACCTCATCTAAGTAAGTAGAACGAGCCTTACCAACTGCGTGCTTAGCTTCTTTCTTCGCTTCTTTGTACTTATTAAAAGTTTCAACATCCGTACGCTTTGGTAAATCTCTATATAAATCCCTCTTGGTCCTAATAGCCTTTTGAACTTCCTCACTACACCATCAGGTTTCTTTCCCATGGGGGCCTTTACCTCTAGATTCTCCTAGTACCTATTTTGCCACTTTTCTAATGCAACTGGCCATGGCATTCCACATAGTATTTACATCACCTACATATGACCAAGTAGCCTCATCTAACAACTTATCTTTAAAGGGTAATTACTTTATTCCCTTCAAATGCCACCAATGAGTTCGTGGGAGGTGGTTTATCTTAATCCTTCTATAGCAAAGCTTAATGCTCACATCTAAGATCACTAACCTATGTTGGGTGGCTAGTGCTTCTCTAGGAATTACTTTACAATTCTTACATAGAGAACGATCTCTATGCCTGGTGAGAAAATAATCTATCTGGCTTAAGTTTCTTCCATTCTTAAAAGTTATCAAGTGAGAATCTCTTTTCTTAAAAAATGTGTTTGTTATGATAAAATCATGTCCCAACACATATTCTAAAATAGATTTCCCTTCTTCATTTCGAGCTCCAAAACCAAAACCACCATGGATCCTTTCAAAGTTTTCCCTATCCTTACCAACATACCCATTGAAATATCCTCCAATGAAAATGCTATCCTCATTGCCTATATGACACACTAAGTCATCCATGTCTTCCCAGGACTTGACTTAGTTTCCGCATCCAATCCTATTTGTGGAGCGTAAGCACTAATTACATAGATAAACTTATTTCCTAGTACCAATTTGAGCATAATAATTCTATCCCCTATTCGCTTAATCTCAACTACGTCATCCTTCACAGTTTTGTCCACTAGAATACCAATTCCATTGCGATTCCTTTCCCAACCTGTATACCATAACTTGTGTCCTAAATTTCCTATCTCCTTTGCTTTCTCTCCTGTCCACTTCATTTCCAGTAAGCATAAAATGTTAATTCTTCTTCTTACCATAACATCAACTAACCCCATAGATTTACTAGTTAAAAAACCTACATTCCAACTACCTAAACGAATTTTCCTATCATGGGCGCTAGCTCTGCCCCTTGCACACGTCCATGAATGTGCAAGGACCCCCCTTGCATATTTTTCACCATATCCGGGGCCCGACATGGCGCATAGGCTCATTTTCCCCCCTATACACGTCCATGAATGTGCGAAGACCCCCTTGCCTATTTAACACTATACCCGGGGTCCGGCATAGCACGTCGCACGTAGGGAACGCCCCAACATATTCTATGTGAGTGAAATCTATGAGAATGACTTATTTTTATGATGGCCGTAAACCTACCGCAACCCTCCTCCGTTACTCGGGCTTGGGGCCGGCTATACATATATTAGAAAAAACAACAAAATACGTTATAACGAATTTAGTTAGGCTAGTATTGTTTTACATTTGACCGTAGCTCAAAATTGCCTTTTCTATTATTACATTTAAATGTAAGTAGACCAACTCAATTTACACACCATTAAAGAATAAAGTTCTATTATTTTCTTGTAACATAGATGACCTTCATTTTTGGTGATGATTTTTATGCTAAAGATTGATTAACGAATGGTATGACGTATTCCTTTTTCCAAGTGATGTACGTTCTGTAAGTATGCATTAGGTGGTGTTATAAGGTACAAAATGTAATGTGACCAAATATACACACACATAGGTGTGATTTTAATAGTACTTACTCTAATATTTAATTTTAGTTGTAAGATATGTATTAATTCGACAATTAGGTTTATTAAGCACTATGTACATTAGGTTTATTAAGCATTATGTTGAGTACTCAATCTGCGTATATATATATATATATGTATATATATAACATCATGGCGTGAAAGAAGTTGTCCAGACACTAGTTGAATTAATTATATGTAATGAAATATTGTGGTCCATACATACATAATACAATAAGCAGACATGCATATTTATATGTACCCATATATATATATATATAGCATATGGAATGATTTCTATCTGTTCAACTAACAGAAATAAATCAGTACAACTCTATGATATATCTAGCTAAGTTTAGTTACTTGTCAAATTGTAACTGCAAGTTAAACTCATAGTTATTTCTTGGTGGTCCATGTATGCATCACATGAAACTAAACAACTCTTTTTTTTTTTCCCTGGAACATTTTAAACTTAATTAGCAACTTGGTTGGCAGTAGTTTCAACCCCTATATACTTTTAAGCCAAAACTAGCATCATTAGATCATCATAATTAAAAACAATAACAATATTCAGAGAGTAGAAGCTAGATATTAAAGTATTCGACCAAAAGATTAGCAACAAAAAAGAAAAAAAAAATAGTTATTAAAGTAATTAGTAAGGGGTTTTTTTTTTTTTTTTTTTTTTTTTTTTTTTTTTTAATTTGATCAGTTCGTATCATACAAAAAAAGGATATTAATACCAACTAATTAGATATGAGTCTCCAAAAGGTAACGGCCAACTTTAATTACGTTAACAAATTAATATATACTGATCACGGACACGAATGATAGTTGAAGAAAATTACAAATATTATGGATCATACTATACAACATTTACTGTTCAAGATAATTTCAATGTAGATATATATTTTTTTAATGCATATCTATCTCAAATTTAACAGGGATAAAGGTCACACTCCACAATAATATTTGATAAGGGAAATTTTTAGCAAAATACAAAAGATTATTCTATTTATATTAAATTAATTTGGATATAAATATTTTTAAGGGAGAAAGAGGAAAATATGATAAGACTTTGAGATGAATTAAAATTAATAGGCCAATAATTTACGTAAGTTAATAAATAAGTTATTGTCCATAACTTGTCTGGTTATGAACCATAACTTGACAAGTTATTGTCCATAATTCACGGGCTTTCTCCATAACTTGTCTGGCTATGAACCATAACTTGATACGCTTGTCCATAACTTATCTAGTTATGAACCATAACTTGATAAGTTATGGCCTATTAATTTCTATAACTAAAAATTGGCTTATATACTTTCTTAAGCTTTTCATATTTTCTACTATTTTCCTATTTTTAATCTAAAAAAAAATACATTTTTTTTTTTTGCTATGAAATCTAATACGAAATACATATCCTTTCACTCAATGTTCCAATATAACGAGTATTTTATTTTCAGCAAGAAAATGTTAGAGAACTGTATGTTCTATTTTAAATTGAGAATTCTACGGTAATAATTAATATCATGCAAATACATTCTTTTTAATTTGATCTATTTAAAATTGATTATTGATTATGTTAGTTAAATTCATTTTAGTTTGATCTATTTTAATTAGTTTTAACGTTTAAAAATATGCACGGTCCACAAATACTCCTATAAAAAGGTTTATGGGTTTTTAATTACAAGGAAAAAAATGAAAATTTTATGGTAAATATAATATTTTACTCCATTGATAAAAATTAGTTTTTAACTGTTATATTAATTTTTGAATGATTAAAATTGTGTATATTTAAATTAAAAATTTATAATATGAAACATAAAATTATAAACAACTCATATTTCATATTGAACCGTTAAAAAATTAAACCAAACGGTAAAACATAATTACTACTGATGGTATAAAATAGGGGTGTTAATTCGTGTTGGCGGATCGTGTTCGTGTCGTGTTGACTCCTTTAGTTGACACGAATAGGCCTGACACGAACACAACCCGTTTATTAATCGTGTCGAAATACAAAATCTAAACACGACATGTATATTAGCGAGTTGATACGACACGACACGAATAACCCGTTTATTAAACATGTTATAAACGTGTCGTGTCAACTCGTTGATTACCTGTCAACCAATTTATAAAATAGGTGATAAATGGGTCGTGTTAACCTATTTCTGAACCTATTTTTAAACTTGTTTATAAAATAGGTGATAAATAGGTCGTGTTAACTTATTTCTGAACCTGTTTATAAAATGGGTAAGAAACGGTTATCAATAGGTTGTATATTCATGTTATAAAAATATGACACGTTTAATAAACAGGTTATGTCAGGTCAATTATGAGTTGACAAATCAACTTAAAAATAACACGTTATTCAATTATATTTTATAGATTCGACGTGATTTTAACATAGACCTATTTATAATAAATTTAATATAAAATAACCTTTCTCATTATAAATACACTAAAAAAATAATCGTAAAGTAGAAAAAATGAAAAAGAAAAAAGTAAATAAATGTTAAATAATGGAAGGATAGTTTACGTTTTCTTTTTAATTTAGGTGGTTTTGATGCTATATTGTGAGAGTGTGAGGTCACTTTAGCGTTTGGGTTGGGCTCTCATACGTCGCTGTCAGTCATAAATTGGGGGGGAAAGCACCAAAGTGCTGCGAAACAAAGAAAAGAAAAGATGGTAATGTATGAGAGAGAGAGATAGAAACACAAAAAATAAAAATAAAAATATATTTACTCTCGGTACAGTATCACCTCTCTCTCTCACTTTCTCTCTCCAGAGCGGGAAAAATAACATTAACAATTCAATAATAGACAAAACAAAAGGAGAGAGAGAGAGAAAGAGAAGAAAAACTAAAAACCCCACTCCATACTCCAATTCCTCTCTCTCTCCTCTCCCTTTCTCTCTCTAGCGTGATTTCAGCCATGGACGAGAAGATGATGATGAAGAAGAAGCTCTCTTTAGTCCCTTGTTTAGATATGGAGCTCCGTTCTTCTTTCTGTGCACGACCTTGAAAGTATTGTTGGTGCGGTTTTGAGCTCTCGATCAACCATGGCGGTTGCGTTTGAGGGCTTCTCGATCCGGTTAGCTTCAGGAACAGCTCTTTCGGTTAGCTATTTCAATCTCTGTGAGAAAATTTTGATTTGTGAGTCTTCTTTTTCTATTTTACAGAGAGTACACAGCCAAGATGAGAAGCGTCGACGTGGCGAAATGCTGGCCGTTCCCTGAGGAGTTGATGAAGATCAGGAGAGAGGAAGATGGAGAAGAAGAAGCTGTGGAGGAGGAGAAGACGGTGCTTCCGCCGATGAGCGTTGTCAAGTTCAAGTGGTGGTCCCACGAGCTCGGCCGTCTGCGGAGCCAGTCGGGCGAGAAATCGGCTGTGGCCGACGAGAAATCGGCGGCGGCGGCTGCGGCGGAGCTGGTTTGTCCGGTTTGCCAAGTTTTCGCGGCGGCGACGGTCAACGCCGTGAACGCGCACATCGACGAATGCCTCGTCGCCGATCGGGCGGCGAAGGCGGACCGTCGGATCATCAGGAATAGTTGTAATGTTAGTAATCATAGTAATAATAAGGCCTCGAAGGCGAAATCGAAGCCACGGAAGAAGAGATCGATCATGGAGATCTTCGCCGTCGCTCCACAGATTGACGCAATTGAGAATGCGAGTGAAGCTAGTGAGAAAGAAGAAGATATTGAGGATGAAGAAGCTGATGAAAACGAAAACGCACTTGTTGACGACTTCAAGGTGCTGATGAGCGTGAGTAGTAGAAGTTCTGGTCCCACAATCAAGAAGAGCAAGAACGTTATGAAGGCTAAGAAGAGGAAGAAGGAGAAGAAGAGGGTGATGGTGGAAGAAAATAATAGCCTGGGAGTTTCATACAAGATTAGGGAAAGTAATAAAAAGCTGAAGAAGAAGAAGAAGATGTTGAACAAAAAGAAGAGTGTTGATGGGTCTATTGCAACCAAGGTATGTGAATTTGGCATAAAATATCGTTGTGCTTAATCTATTTTACATATATATGCATTAGATTATGAATACAATTATTACTTCGAGTTGTTGATTGATTGTCTATGTCTTGTCGATTGTGTAGTTTTATGTTTCACGATTGGCTTTCACTAACGGTTGTTAGAAAGAATACATTAGATTACTGTAGTCTTGTGACATTTTGAAGGGTTGATTTAGTACTGAAAAAGCTGGGTCACGGATAAGAATACTACTGTAATAGGAGAGGAGAGGCGTTGCCGATGTTTGTAGTACTTTTCTTTGGGTAAACTAAGCAGCAAATGAGGTTCAGTATAACGGGGAAAAAGTTAAAAGAGTGAGTGTGAGAGAGAGAGAGATTAATGGGGTTCTCTCCTTTCATTTCTGGGATTGGGAGGTGATTTCATGAGCATTGAGCAGGTTTTCGAGGTGTTGTTGTTGTGGGAGGTGGTGCTCCAGCTGTACCGTACGGGCTGGGGCAGAAAAGGGCTTTTATAACGTGGGAGAGGTTTTTTGTCCTTGGTTTATATCATATGCATCCTAGGCTAATGATGCTGTTTTTTCCTACTGTTTCGGCTAGGCTTTGTGCGAGGTAATCATTTGGGGGGCATTTGGGTCGCTCTAATTTTGATAAGATGGCTGGTATTATATCATGATTTACATGGATGAATTCATGAGAGATCACTTGGGCTAGAGAGTGTCATGAAGAGTGCATTTGTTTATGTGACTTGTGGGTTCTACTTGGAAAGTAACAATTTGAAGATACTAGTAAATATGACGTCCATGGGTGACACGCGAAGCTTATATATTGGTGGATAATTCTTTTTGAAGCTTTCTTTCGACAAGCAATACCGAATAATTCAACACGGCAGACAAGTAAAGTCATTATCACATGGAGATTTTTGTGAGATGTGTGAGGTTTTTCCACCTTCTTTGTTCATCTAGTGAGAATCTAGGCAAAATTGTTTTTAATATGTTCGGGTGTGTCAAGAGAGATAGAATTATAGGTGTTCTTTCATTTGTGGTGCCTTTTTAGTATTGCAATGTGGTATCTTGTCTGGAACGTGACCTGGCTTCTAGGAATAGCATCTTATATTGGCTCTGCGTATTAATTGAAAGATGGATTTTATCACCTTTCACCTATTTGTTCTTATGTGTCTTGTGTTGCAATTGATCATAAGAGCATTTGAATAATGGTCGTGAAGTAGTAGTGTTAGTTGTGCTTTATCATGGGACCACTATTTGGACTTCTTATCAAGTGAAAAAATCTTGTTTATAGGCGTATGGTAAACTCTTGCAGGTTATGGCAGTGGATAACAGATACTGTCGACATTAAATTATATGCTTTTCTTTTTTCGCTTGTTTTTATTTTCTGTAGCAATAGTATCCAGGGGTTATTATTCTTTGGGCCTTGAGGGAAGCTGGATGTTGCTATTGTCGTCACTGGATTTGATCATAAGAACATTTGTATAATAGTCGTGAAGATTGATAGACATTAATCTTTTAGGACCGGAGATCAAAGGCTTTCAGGAGACTCTGCTAGCATTTTAGCAAATTCTTTTTTCTGAAAGTACGTAGTTATTGACATCTAGTTTTTTGAGAGACTTGGTTAGGATAACCCTTTCTTCTCTTTGTTGTTGAGATCTTAGCATGCTTATTTATCTTTTTATTTTGTTAGTATCCCTAATCCCGAGCCCTTGCTTGTGGTGTGGGATCCTTACTGTGAAGCTCATTTATAAGATCTCATGTTTTAGCCCACATGTAGATGAATCTCTTGGTCTGAAGAAATTTCTATTCTGAGGTAGAATAATGTCGTTTGTTGCAAGTAACCCTCCTACAGCTAAGCTAAATATATGTTTGAAAAGCTGTGTAGACGTTGTATTGGTAGTTACCTTCAGTCTTGGTTTTTGATTCCATGGCTGTGATCATATATGTTTCCTTTTTAGCAGCCTTCATGTCTTGAGCGGAACTGTAATTGAAAGATGTTGTTAATCTGGAAGCAGTTAAATGCCGTCCATGATTTTTGTTTTAGGTTCCATATTCCGCCTTTGTAGTTCCAAATGAATCTTCTGCCGGCCCATCAGGTTTTTAACCTATTCCTGAATTTTGTTCCTGTAGTCTATGGAGAACCAAAAAGACCTACTGACATTGTGTTTCTAGAAACATTTCTGGGGTTGCTTTGGAATGTCTGAGTCAAAAGTTGAATATTCCTCATCTAATTTTTGTTTTGAGACAATTTTTTTTTTTTCGTTTTTGGTTTTTATAGGTATTATTATTGCTCAGTGAGATTGATCCTTGCAATCTACTGTTTCTTACATTTATATGGTCCAGGGAAAACAAGGTCGAAATTAGCTAACCCTATCTCCATATTATAAAGGAAGGGAGCTTTAATATGAGCCCCAATGTTGAACAGTTAAATCATGAAATGTAGATATGGACCTTACTTTTTGTCAAGTCAGATAGGTATACTCTTGACCAATAACAAAGAGTTTATAACACTGTTTTGCACTTTAATCCAAGTAGTGGAATTTATGATGCTATTTTTTTTTTTTTTTTATGGATTTATGATGCCATATGTAATCAAATATCATAATTTTTATTTTTATTTTTTTGTTACGCCATTATTTCTCATTTGTTAAAGTTGTAATCTTAGAATCATGATGAACTGAGGTAAAGCAACAACTTAGGAGTTTATGCAAGTTCAAGGGATCAGTTACCAAGTCCCCTTTTGTTAGTCTTTTGGTGTCAAAGGTATAGATCATTAAGCTAAATACAAAGATTTAGGATTTTGTGTATAGGGTGAGATGAAGAGCACTATCTGGCATATCTTTTCCGCACCATATGAATTCAGAATAGCGTAAAAATTTCAGGAAATGTTAAGACTGCCCTTGGATGAATGCCAGACCTTTCACTTTGCAATTAATGTCCAGTTATCAGCAATTGGTTCCCAAATCCTCTCTTGCAATGTCGTAGAGCCTCTAGGTTGTAAGCTAGTTGCCTCAAACGTAGAAATGAAGGATGCTACTTATTAGATAATTCTTTAGAAGTGTAAACTTAGTGGCAGATGTCTTAGCTGATTCCATATATTTTTATCCAAATTTGGTAATTGGTATAATGTTGATCTTTGACTGAATTAAATTTGTATCTCAAACAATCTTTGGAGCTCTGCACATTTAAATTGACATTGTTGTTCTTACACTTGTAGATTTCTTACTCAAGGTTTCAGATTATTTTCAATTCGTTAATAATAGACACATAAAACTAGCTTCTGGCTTCTACTTATAAGTTTCTTTTTGAAGATCCTGTCCACTTATTGATGCATCTTATCCTCTCATAATTTGTTTCCTAACTTCTTGGCCTGAAATTGTAAGCATGTGACTGATTTATATATAAGCCATGTCATTATGAGCTTCTTGTTTGTATCAGCGGAATGCTCAGAACTTGAAGCTGCAAAATCACGTGAATATCGCAAAAAAACTGAAGAAGAGATTTGCAATTGATATTCTGAGCTCTGATTCTGTCCGTGGAAAGAAAACAACTACAAAATGCTTATCCACACAAGAAAAGCAAAACGTTGATGAACCACTCAAATTGATTGCAAGGAACCAAGAACCAATCTTTCCTATTCGCAGCATTCTGAAGAATCATACTAGCAATGATCAGAAATCTACAATTCGCAATATGCAACGCGATAGTGAGGCCAATCCTTGCAGTCTTCAACTATCAGAATGGCATGTCAGGTTTTCGGGGAAGGATGACATATTTGGACCAATGAAGAAAGATTTTTATTCCTCTGAGCAGAATGTTGGCAATTTACTTTCAGACAGACTTGCTGCTTCACCAGAAAAGTTTCAGTCAGCTGACAATAGAATGGTAGCTATGGAGGTAACAAGGAGTGAAGATGATACTTCGGTGGGTATAGATTATCGAACTGAGGCTCATACTATTATTGCAAGGGAACAGTCAGCTGATATTCCTCATGTAGAGATACCAAGCTCTCCAAGGTTACCCATAAATATTCAAGAAAAAACGGAGCTTTTGCGGGAGAAAAGTACTCTACCCCAAGAAAGGCAATTTTATGAAAATAATTTGCGCAGGTTTGATCAAGGCTACGCAAGTCCAGCTCGGAGACCTCCATTTACTTGCTTATCTACCCTCTTTCCGCCATTTGGGGGATCCAGTGGAAATACCCAAATAGGTGGTAGTGCTTCTAGTACTTTCAATTCCACTGGAAAGTTGATCAATCATGTTCAAGATCCTATCCACAGAGTTGCCGACATTACTCCAAGGGAAAACATAAGTCCATATTCACAACCGTTATCTTGTTTTACTGCAAATGAAACTGCAAGCAATAGGCTTCAATTCCAGTCACAACCTTCCGAGGAATTAGTCAATGCTCATACCTTGTGCTGCCGACCATTTTGTCATCTGCCTCCAATGGACTTGATTGGTGGGTTATGTTCTTTTCCAGAGTGGAAGCAAAAGGAAGTGGTGTTGAGAGAAAGTTGCATGGATGAGGATTTTTTTGGTTTGCCTCTCAACTCACAAGGCGAGCTGATCCAGTCAAGTTCGAGAAGTAAACTTTTGTTTGATGAGCCGAGGGAGTCAAATATAACTGCGCATTCAAGTAGCATTTTTCCTGCACGTAATCTTGTCTGGCCAAGAAGTACTGGAGACTACTTGAGTGTGGGTAAGAAGAATTTTGAAGAGAGAGAATTTCTAAATGATCGAGGGAATCAATTCCTTGCACAGAATTATGTCAAGGAGAACCCCAGCTTACAAGTACCAGCTAGGTTTGGTGTTACCTATTGGGAAAGTACTGGCAGGGAAGATGTTCACCATCTAGATTTTGAAAGGAGAAGTAACCACTCTTTTTTTACTCTTTCCGACCTCTTGATGCGGGTCTTAATCTGATGAATATCTCGTTTGATGGAAGCAGAACATATGAGCAGCTGCAGAATCAAGAGATTAGTGAAATGATTCATCCAAAGGAAAATTCAGGTAAGACGTCACTGAACACCAGCCAACCAACTATGCGTTTGATGGGTAAAGATGTTCCAATTGGTAAAAGTAGCAAAGAAATGCAAGGATTTGAGGATGGAAAGGTTTGGACTGATACGGAAATTGCCGTAGAGCATTGTACATCAGGTGCTTGCCTGAATAGTTCCCCCACGAAAAGAAATTTTCAGGAGTGGATTCCGCAAATGTCAGGAGGACAGTACAAAGAAACTGTAATACAATCTCTGGGAATTGAGAGTGAGAAGTGTGCTCAAAACCACTTACTCATTAAAGGACCAGGGCCTAGTTTTTCTCATCCTTACTTCGATTGGCAAACGAACGGAGCATTCGAAAGTAGCAACTTTGGTGCCAACAGAAATCCTAGTTCTAATTTATTCCCTTATGCTCCTTTACCCACTGCTTCTAGATTATTTAGTCGGGTGCCTAATTTCCAGGATTTTTTCATTTCTGGAGCTGAACCTGTACGACTTGGTTCTCAACTTCCGGTGCTGTCTACTCCACAGAATTCCTGCGAGCATGGGCACTGGAGACCAGCTGAACTCTCTCACAGGCAGAACTTACCACATTTTACAGATCCCGGGTTTGAGTTTCCTTTCTTAAATCCAGATTCTAGAGTAAATGTTCAATCCTCATGGTTTGAGAACTCGAAGAGCCTGCCCCCGTGGTTGTTACATGCAAAGCAGCAGGGAAAGACACCAATGATATCTTCTCAACAAGGTCCAATTGCGGCAAGCAAAAACCATCAGCACATTTCATCCAGAACAAATATTCTCAATAGGCCATCAATTTACCATTCAGCAGAAGCATGTTCTTATCCTTGTGGTCCTGGTACTTTACATTCACAAATGAACAGTTCACTTGGTTCAGCCACTATAGTTATCCCTCCCCTTGGTCCGATAATTTCCAGGGTAAAACCAGCATCTGCCATGAACACAGGCTACAGAAATAGAATGAAGGTGAAAGAAAGACTGAAATCAAAAGCTTTTGGCGTCAAAGACCTTTATCCTTGCAAGAAAACTAACAAGAGACTTGTGACTAAATCGCTTGATTTAGTAAAGCCCACCAGAATCCTCAACTTAGAAAAGCAAGAAAAGTTTAGTGCTTTGGCAAGGTGCTCGGCTCAGAACCTGTACAGTGAAATGCAACGTGACATAGTGGGAGATGACCTTCATTCAAACAGGGTCAAAGACATTGGTCTGGAATGCCAACGAACTGAAACTCAAGACTTTGGAATTGGAATTGCTGGTAATGAGTCCTCAAGAGTGGATATTATGGCAAGATCGGGCCCTATCAAATTAAGCGCCGGAGCAAAGCACATTCTGAAACCAAACCAAAACATGGATCTAGATAACTTCATGCCGATCCACTCTACGATCCCATTTGCTGCGGCGACTAATGTCAGTATGGTACCCGAGTCTCAGAAGAAAGCAGCAAAGATCTACAGGTTTTAGATGTAAGTCTTGATTAAAATATTCTTCTTTTATTGTCCAATCACTCAAGAATGAATGTTATATGTTACTGACTTAAATGCTTTACTTCCTAGGTACACGAGACTGCTTATATCTGACTACATGAACCGCTGACTTCAAAGAAATTAAGCTCTTAGTGCTTTTCAATAGTATGATCATCGGAATCTATTTAATTGCCAAGAACTTGTTTCCTTTTTTTTTTTTTTTTTTTTTTTTTTTTTTTTTTTTTTTTTTTTTTTTCCCTTTTCTTTTCTTTATGCTTGTGTGGTCAGCTAATCTGTGTGTGGTGTTTGTAATACTATCATATTGCTATGGAGGCTCTTATGCGCGCGTTGACAACATTAACTTGTTTTCTTTTTCGGCAAAAAGAGGAAAAAGAAAAATTTGTTTCGGTTGCCCTTTTATTTATTAATTTATTTATGTTTAAACTGACCTTTGACAGCTTAAAAAAAAAAGAAAAGTTTGCCTTTTTGATTAGTACTCGTAACGTTACAATTTCTTTCTTGCTTAGATAATAGTATTATTTTAATGTTGACTTAGGAACATTGATAATGAATTTGTTAGGGGAAAAAATGATACGGAATTAAGGATGCATCAGTCACAAAAGATAGCAACTGAACAAAAAAAAAAAACAAAGCATAAAACGACATGTCAAGGGTTGTTCAAATTATTTGTACCATTGTATACTTAAACGACATGTCATTTTCCTTAGCTAGCATTAATAAAATTAAAAATGTAAAACGTGTGGGCTAACTACGTTGTTTCCCACTTGCAAAAAAAAAAAAAAAAAAAAAGGAACTATGTTGTTTCGGGAATATATATCAAGTGTATATGGGGGTTTTTTTTTTCCCTCTAATTGCGTTATGTTATTATTTGTTTATTTTTTTCTTAAGATATATATTATTTTGATAATATAAGAGAATCTTAATGTATGAATAATCATTCAAAAAATTGAATTTTCTGTTTGGAGGTATGCTCCCAAATAAAAAATGTATTATTCATAGCTGTAACAGATTTTTCAGAATATCTTATACTTGTATATTCTATGCTGTTCTTCTTCTTATAATCATCATCATTATTATCGTCATAATCTTTTTCGTTTATCTTTGTGACAAGGACAGCTGGAGAAAAAGTTTCAAAAGATCAGATCTACATGGGTTTTAAACGATAACTATATTTAAAAAAAAAAAAAGATTTAAAGATAATTAATGATCACCTCCTACTTTAAAATAAAGTATAAAACCTTAAACCCTAGCCTTAGGACGTTATCAATTTTACAAATCTAATATATACATAATACAAACAGAGAGAAGACTTGAAACTTTGATTTCATTTGGCATAGCCATAGTATCATATCATATCATTTCATCATGGTTGAAACACGTAGAAGTAAGCGTCTTAATACAACAATATTAGCTTTAAACCATCCATTGGTTGAGTTAACCAGCAAGAGAAACAGAAAGAAGATTAAAGAAAAACCAGCATCCAAATTCATATCCATTGTTTCCGACGATCTGTTGCTTTGCTCCAAATATTTCTCCGACTTCCTCATGCCCGAGACGTAATCTCCGGTGTGGCATCGTTTGCATCAACAGTTCATTCACAGCTTTATTCAACATCACAACCACAAAATATCATCATCGTCTGATCATTCTTACTCCTTGCCCTACACGCTTTTGTTTACTTACGCTTCTCAGTGTTCTCCGGAAAACAGTATAATTAATCAGCCATCCTACAAAATATTTTCTGAGAAATCAAAGATTCCTCATGACTTAGGAAGTCATCATCGTCATCTAGCTAGTACTTATGTTCATGATTATCTAAGGGTATGTTTATTTGCACAACTAAGTCATGATTTGAATTATGTATGTGAGAGAAAAATACTGTAGTAAAAATGTTGAATTTGAATTTTTATGAAAAAAAACACTGTAGCAATATGACTTGAGTCATTGAACAAGGCCTAAGCTTTCATCATTGTAAATTATAAAGGCGTCTGACGACTTTCGGCGACTTGTTGCTGGTCACCTTAGATAATTGCGCAAACTACTCAAACATCGATTACTGCATCTGCAATCCGTTTACCAAACAGTGTTTTTCCCTGCCACACGGAATTGGTGATCCTAGAGCCATATTGGCCACTGGATTGATGTTCCAACCCTCACAATCACCTGATCATCATATTAAGTATAAGGTTGTGTGAATCCTTGCTTTCTTTCAATTCAAAAAATCAATCATTGCGGATGTTTTTTGTTCGGAGACTAAAAAGTGGAACGTAATTTAGTCTTCTCGTTTCCTTGGAGATCGCCGGATCTCATTCTTCCATGGACGTCGCGTCCAGGCTGTTCCAACCAATAATGGAACGCTGGAAAGGGATGATTGGCAATCAGATAAAAGGGATTCTTGCAATCAATCCTAGAGGTATAAATAGTTGCGGTTCCTTCCCGGCGGGATTTGCCCCGGATGGCAGGCTTCGAATGACAACCTGCGCCTCGGCGTGGTCGAGAGGCAGCTGCAGCTGTCGCAGTTTCTTAGGTTTAAGGACATGAACATGATCGGCTTTGTGTTAAAAGTTTGGGAATTGAATGATGCATGAGAAGAAGAAGTATCATGGCTTTTAGTGCATGAGGTTAGCATTAAACAGAAAACGAAAAATATGAACACGGTGCTTTCTTTTCATCCAAATAAAGGTGATGTGATTTTGGTAGCACGCGGACAGATATTCCTATATATTCTTAGCTTAGGATGTGTGTATATATATATATATATATGTATGTATATATATGTGCACAATTATGCTTATTTTCCTACGCTTTTGTTTTTCATTCTTGAATTCTTTGTAATATTGGTCAAGTTATTATAATTAACTTACATTCCAGTTATCTCTGTTGTTTGCTTAATTGCATGTATATTGCTCTTCTCTTGATTTACTTCAATACTAGTCTCTGTATCATGTATCTTCCCTTTAAAAAAGGAATATTGTTCTAAAAAGAAAGTTGAATATCAGATTTTTCAAAACTTCTTCTACTTGTATATTCTATGGTAAAAACAAGAAAACAGAGGTAGTCTTAAATTTAAATTTAATTAAAGAAATTAAATCTACCTATAAGGTAATTTGCATATCATCAACTGCAAATATGGAAGTTTTCCAATCTATATTAGTGTCTCATCAACTGCAAATATTACTTTCCAATCTTTTTTAGCGCTGAAAATTACAATGGAAGTTTTCTATCTTTACGATGAAGATGTCTATCTTTACGATGAAGATCTTTTGATCATCATTCGTCCTGCAGATCCGACTGCTCGCCGCCCAACACGCTTACTTTCGCTCCTCCTGGGAAAAGCAGTGTAATTTATCAGCCATTCTACAGACTCTTCTCTGAGACATCAAGGACTCTCCATGGACTTGGAAATCCCTCATCCTCATCATCATCATCATTATCTAGTGATGATCATAATTATCTAAACTTTCTTCGTCGTAAATATCGCAAAGGCGTGTAATTATAAAAGCGTCTTTCGGCGACTTGTTGCTGGTCACCGTATATGATCGCAGAAAAGACTTCGAATATTACTGCATCTGCAATCCGCTTACCAAACAGTCGATTTCGCTGTCTCACGGCCCCCGTCAATCAGCCATGGCCACTGGATTGGTCGTGTGCCAGCCCACACAACAATCAGTACTTGACCTTAAGTACAAGTTTGTGCGAATCCTCTTATTCTTTGTTTTTTTCAAATCAATTGTTACAAATGTTTCCGTGGACACCGGCACTACAAAAAAAAAAAGTTATTAGCGACGACATTATTAGTGATGACATTTATTGTTGCTAAAATTATAATATTAACGATGGTATGTCGTCACTTAAAAGAAAATAAAATTTTAGAACAACTTGTCGTCACATTAAGTATTTGCGACGACATGTCGTTACACAAAATTTATATAATTACGACGACATGTCGTCGCAAAAATGGAACGGCTTATTAGTGACGACATATCCATTGGCGCCAAAACCAATTTGGCACCAATAATTTTGGCGCCAGTTTGTACATTATTTGTGAGAACATGTCATCGCAAATATTGATGATTACAGCTAGCGGTGACGTGGCCAAAAAGAGGCAGGAAATTTGGCGGTTTCCCGCGAATAGGTTCCATATATTTCTTTATTTTTTGTGACAACTATGCAAAATGTCATTGCAAAAAAATAGTTCCAGAAAAGTCTTTTTAGAACGACTGTATTTGCGACGACATGTGTCGTGAGAAAAAGGGGTTCGAGAAAATTCGATCAATGACGACTGTTTTTTGTGATGACAGTTTTAATAATGTGGTCGCAAATAACTGGGGATTTAATTTTCTCCAAAGAAAAGGGCGGAAACTTTGGCGGTTTCCTCAAAGTTATTTGCGACGACATTGTTAAATTATCGTCGCAAAAAAGGAACTAGGGTAAATTCTCCAAGAATATTCTTAGAAATATTAATGAGGTGAAGAAGAATGACATCGTTTTAAGATTAATTGCGACGACTATTTAATCTTTGTTGCAACGACATAATGTCGTTGTAAAAAACCACCTCCATAAACGAAATCGCAGACCTCCTTCCGCCATTTTTTTCGTTCCTCTCTCAGTCCAAAACCTCCAAAAACCGTCCAAAAACACTGAAAATAGCTTAAAAATATCTTCATCTCTTCAAATCTTTCATTTGTGGAGAAAAAAAGTCCAAAAACGCAGAGTTTTCATTTCCCTCTCGCCTCCCACTTTTCCGGCCAAACTCGCCGTTTTCCGGCCGCCGGCGCCCTCTTTTCTTTACTGCCTTACCGTTCTCCAACCCACGGTATTTGTGGGTTTAGATTTTGTGTGTTAATATTTTGGAATTTTGTTAATTGATTTTGGTATTTTTGCTATGGTTTATGATTTTTTTTTAGATTTTAGATATAGTTTGTGGTTTTGAATTTAGAATTGTGAATTTTAAATTAGAATTGAAACTGAGATATGTGATAATTAGATTATAATTTGTATGAAATTTGTTTAATGATGATTATGTGATAATTAAAAAATTAGATAAAAATTTTAATTAAGATTATATTAATAATAAAATAATAAAATAAACTAATGTTAAATACTTATTATAAACTAATTTGTGTTAATTTTCATAAAATTTGATAAACTTTATAAATTCTTCGTAGTAGAGATGCCTATGGACAAGAGTTGGATAC